GGGTGTAATATCAATATGATGAAGGCAATAAGTTACTCATTTAAACTTGTATTGTTATTTAATGTATGCAGCAGAATTAACAGATTTTAAATTAAAATTTAATACAGTTTGATTTCATCGAAGCTAAAAGACTTTAAATCTTAAGTACCGATAAATGAATCTTTAATTTTTATATTATTTTCAAAAGTAAAAACTAAATCTATTAATAATCTTCTACAATCAGATTTTTGGATATGACTAAAATTGCAGAAAAGTGATTAAGAATTATTACTTTGTAAGAAAAAGAAGAAATAAAATAAGCCATATCAGTTTCGTTAAATAATCAATTAAATTTATCGATTTAAATTATTTGAGTCTTTATTAAATAATTAATCCTTATCCTAAACTTAAGACTTAAGAATAAATTAAAAAATTATTAAAAGAACATATGATTGTAATCAAAAAGGATTACTCTATAATTTTTTGAATTTCATCATGATTAGTTTTCATAAAGCTTGATAGAATAGTGTTTAAAATACTAAAAAAAAATCTATATGTTTGAGCAATAATTAATAACTGTATTTGATTTGAAAAAAGCACTTTGAAGAAATTATATAGAATTTTGAAATAACATGAAATTATGTAATTAGTATTTATTTCACAAATTTATAATCCTATTCTATATTATAAAAGAATAAGCTTAACAAAAAAAGGAATGATCCTATATACCCGATTTAGAACAAATACAATGAATTCCAAATCTTCACAAAGTCTAGTCTTCATATTCATAAAAATACACAAGATACTTTTTTGGTTTATATTTGAAGAAAGTAATAGAAATTGGAATTATTATTTTTAAGTTTATGTTTAGCACTTCTCATCCTCGAAGTCCAATATCTTTGGTATGTGTGGCTGAACACAAGTGTTAATGTTAAAGGAAGATGTGTGTTGAATGTCCTTATGATCACGGAATAGAGATTAAATAAGCAGTTCCAATTAACAAATTTCATGAAATGTTTCTAAAGAAATTGTAAGAAAATCAGTTGGAGGATACATCAGAATTAATTAAATAGAAAATAAGCTTCAAATAACTGCTATCTTAAACTGAAGCAATTATGAAGAAGTTATGGGAAGATTTAGTAACTTCGATTAAATTGATCTATGAGATGATTGAGTAAGAAAATAATTCTTACATTAATCTCATAAGAAAAAATGAAAATTTAGCAGAATCTTTTATAATGATTTGGAAAAACTAGTGTAAATACAGAATGGGAGATTTTTAGATGATTGGAATTATAAAAAGATTTTTTATGTGACGAAATTGGATAAAGCAAAGTAGTGGCTAGAAAAAGAAGTGAAAACTTTCAATGAAAAATTTAAACAAGAAATGAATGAGATTTTTTAGGATGTTTCGGTATAATTTAACAACATTTTTAAATAGGATTGAAAAGAAAGAGATACTTATCAATATTGTATAATTAGTATATTGTAATATCTATTACATATCCATTTATCTATTAAATGCAGGGTTGAATTCATTAAAATTAATACGGATAAGGAAATATAATACTTTCTTTTAGTTACTTTTATGAAAAAGACTTGTATGAGAAGTCAAATCAACGAAAATATTTATTGGAGTAATAATAAAATTTAAAATTAATAACCCAATAGTAAATTAGGACATTTCAAAAAGATTTATTTTTGTTATAGCTTCAAAAAACTGAATCTTTAATAAGATAAATTACTTTTGGTATATTTGATAGAATGATATTTATTTTTAATGGAAATTAGATTTTTTTTATAATAAATAGATAATAATTATTCTATATTTTATCTTAATTGATTCAATCAACTCAAAAATAAAAGTGTTTACACTAATGCCGATCAAATTAAATCAAAATTAATTGATTAACAGGCAATGCACTTTCCATTTATCCATTAATAATACCCATAAGATTCGGAGATACAGGATTCTTAATTTGAATTGGAAATATCTAAATCTTAACAATTTCTTATCATAATGACATATGTAAGCATCCATTAAATTCATATATGGAAAGCAAACTGGCATAGATAATTTCCTATCTGTTAATAGAATACATTCTAAAGATTTATATACATATTATGCTTTCTATACACAATTTATTTTATTATATATTCCGCATACAATTTAAATTTCCATACATACAATGTTCATAATTCTCTATCTTCACAATTTATCCATATTTAACATTTTTTATCTCTGTCTATACATTTACCTTCTATTCCATAATAACATTTAGCTTAGTCCTGTGTCTTAGCATGATTTTTTTATTGGTTCTTTTGTTTAGCAGGATTTTGTTAAATTATTATAAATGCAATTATTTTTAAGGTTATAACAATCTTCATCAATGGAAATTTAATAATCCCTGACAATCTGTAAATTTAGAAAATTTTCAATTATTTCAGGTACAATCAATGCTTTAACAAGCCTCAAAATTTATCTAATCACAAGATTTCTAAAAACAAACTTAATCGACAAATTAACACTTGCTTATATAAGAACAGTCACATTGTGAAATCAATTATTCACAAGTGCATTAATTTCCTATTAAAATTAAGTTTTGATATAATGTCAAAGTAGATTAGTGATGTTGAAATG